AGATAAATTGAAGAGGAGACGGACACAATAATTAGGCAGTACTGTTGAGATTTGGTCTCACTCCGATCACACAGTCATCTTTTCGACCACTCACAAACACAAGAATCAGAAAACAAATTTTTGAGAATTAATCTCATTCCGACCACTCACAGTCATCTTTTGAGATTTAGGCTCATATTCATAGTCATTTTGATAATCAGGAGGCAACCTTTTTGGTCAGAGTCTCATTTCGACCATGTATATACAACAACAAGATAGATGGAAGAGGAGACGAATACAAGAATTATGAGGTAATATTTATGAGATTTAGTCTCATTTCGACCACTGATAGTCATCTTTTAAAAAATTTTCTCTCCATTGATAGTCTGATTAGGACGTCAAAGAATTTTAAGGAGGAAAATCCCTTATCATCTTTTCGTTGCCCATCCTGAGAATATTACTTAGGCAATGGTCAAACGCATCTCCAAAGGATAATCGTGGCTATCGCAGCAGAGATAGTAACTTAGGTGGACGCGTCTCTCATCCCCTAGAGAACGAAATTCTATCCGGAGCTCTACGACTATTCTCATATGACACTCCAATGTTTTATGTAATACATCTACGATCCTGTACGAAAAAACCGAAATAATTAGCGCCAAATAAAATTGAAAGCAACTGTAAATGTAAACCAATCAAGGTTTTCTATGAAATGACATGATCTGGATATCTTATTGCTCATAGAGGAAATGTCACAAGATGACTTGAATCCTTTATATATCCTATACATTAGCCGTAAATCAACAAATGTACATGGAAAGAGTTTAGACGTTTATTTTAGGGTTTTATATCTCTAATCCAAAAAAATGATGGCATAAGGTTACTAAGAATATCAAATTTTACGTATTTGTATTTGAATTTAGGTTTGATTCTAGAGTTTTGGGTTATAGGAGCTATGTGTATATAATGTTGGATTTAGGCTTTGATGCTAGAGTTTTGGATTTTAGGATCTATATAACGTTTTTAGTGTTTACATACATTTGTGAAGGTTAAGTTTTTAGTTTTGAAGAAAAACATCGATTAAGTACTTTCTGAATTGTATTTAATATTGCGTTTTAAATATGAATTGTTTCTTTCACGTGTAATTTCTATAAGATAATTTTCAGGTGAACACTATTATTTATTTTCTTTAAAGATCATTATCTAAAAATAAAATCTCGCGCAAGGCGCGGATAATACACTAGTATATAATAAAACAAACATTATATAAATCTACAAATTCCGTATCTTTTGATTTTTGTAGCCTAACTTTGTTAACGTTGTTTTTCTTTTTTTGGTCGAAGTTAACAGAGAACAATATGTCAAAATACCAAATCTCAATATCATTATTATACTGTGAACAAATATTTGATCCCCGATCCCGCATAGGAAAAATAAAAAAATAAGTTAAGCAAAAAAACGAACATAAGATTTTAATAACTGAAGCCAACCATCTAGTATTATATAACGAACACATAACATCTACAAGTTCACAGTAAGCTCAAATCAAATTAACTTGC